GATTCTTCCCCTTTATGATATGAAAAAATGAATTACAATCTTATGTTTGTCATGCTATCATGCAAGCCCTTTTCTATTCTGTGGCGTCCAGCAACGTGTAACACGTGCCCGACCAAGTTAGGCCTAGGGGGTATGTATACGAGCCCCCCTGGTGGGTCCATGTACGCGTGCCGTATGTGAAGGAGTACCACACACCCAACTCTACTTGGAATAGAAAAGCGCCCAAGACTATGTAAAGTTTACGAAAAGTTAGGTCTCGCATGTATTTGCATTTCTAACCTCAAAAGTGAGGTGATTTACTAAGTATTCATAAAATACTCAAGCCGCGTACTTTTAGTAGTTTACGTTGGGGAGGACATATTTTTAGTAGTTTACGTTTATTTGACTGTTTTAAGTTAAAACATTGAATATTGTTTTATTTAGATTTATTTTGAATTCAGTTACTGAAAGTTTTATTTTCGGATATAGGTTTGTTTTGGATTTATGAATTTTTATGAAAGACTTTCTTGTGTTTTTCAAGATTATTTATGATGAGCTTCCACGTAATAAATTATGTATGCATGGGTGACATCACTAATTAGGTTTAGAAAATTAGGGGCGTTACACTACATCTCCAGTAAGATCAACATCCACAAAATCTTCAGAGTCTACATCTCTAGTACAATGTTTTTACGTCCATTTTGCTCAACGTGTAAATTCTCTAATGCAGTAATACTCAACAAAAATTGAGTAGTAGTTAATTTTAGAAGAAGATAAAAGATTTCAGCATAATCAATGTCTTTCCTTTGTGAATATCCTTTAATTACTAACCGAGTCTTGAACCTCTTTTTGCCATTTGGTTCAGCAGCGTTCTCTTTCCGATAGGTAACTCAGTCAACACCCACATATTAATTTTTTCGAGTGAGCTCATCTTATCATCTATGCATTGCTCCCACTTGGTTGAATCTCCACGTGTAGGGTCTCATCAAAGAACTCTAGTTCTCCTTCATCAGTTAGCAGCAACAAATAGTGTAATGAAGATGAATATCTATTTTTGGTATTAGTTCTGAATGGTCTCCTCAACACTTGCTCAGGTGTCACTTGTTCCACGTCTGGTTTTTCAGTAACAGTCTTAGAAGTTTCTTGAGTTTCTATTGTATCCTCAATACCTGCTGAAGTGTCACTTACTCCACATCTGGTTTTTCAACAACAGTCTTAGAAATTTCTAACATCATTGGGTGAGTTTTTTCTGCAATTCAAGCTCAACTATCACTTGATTTGTAGTCTCCGAACTTATCTTCTCTTTGTCCTTGTACGGGATATTTTCATCAAATATCACGTCACAATGTTTTAGAATTTTTCTATTTTTGTCATCCCAAAACCTATACCTGAACATGTCAGAACCATAGCCTATGAAGTAGCACTTCACAGCCTTGGCATCAAGCTTGTCTCTCTTCTTTGGATCAACGTGAACATACGCAGTACAACCAAAAGTTCTCAAGTGAGAGTACTTTATTTCTTTTTCTGTCCATACCTCTTCTGGCAATTTAAACTCCAAGGGTACAGATGACCCTCTATTGATCAAATAGGTTGTTGTATTCACAACATCAACCCAAATGTCTTTAGTAGCCCAGAATGAATCCTCATGCTTCTTGCCGGTTCATTCAATGTTCTTCTCGTACTTTCAACACACTATTTTGTGTTGTCTTACTGGGAACTGTCCTCATTAATCTAATTCCCTCAGCTGCACAACATATTTTAAATTATGACTTTTCATACTCTCGTCCAGTATCAGACCTTAGGCATTTGATCTTCAAGTTGGTTTGATTTTCAATTTCAGCTTTTCACTTCTTGAAAGTGACAAACACATCTGACTTGTGTTTCAGGAAATAAATCCATACCTTCCTACTCAAATCATCAATAAAGGTGATGTACAAGTTTGACCCATCAAGTGATGGAACTGGAGATGGTCCCTAAACGTCTGTATGGATCATTTATAACCACATTTTCTTTGGTTCTCTCGTGAACTTTGTAAAGCTAACTCATTTTTGTTTGTCCATAACACATTTCTCATAAAGACCCATATTAACATATTTCAGGCCTTCTAAAACTCCTCCCTCAACTAGCATTTTCGTTCCTTTGACGCTCATATGTCCAAGTCTATTGTGTCATAAACTTGAATTGAAAGCACTTTTAGCAACAACAGTCATGTTTATACACCTTACATTGATATACAAGGTTCCAAATTTTGTGCCACATGATACTACCATGACACCCTTCACAATCTTCCATGAACTCTTCCCAAATTTGATGCATGACTTGTGCTATATATCCAGCAGATTTCCGTGAGACTAGGAATATATATTTGACATCCTTTAATACCAACTGATTTCCTGCCAGAGTTTGTATACATACATCTCCCTTCCCTTCAATCTCCAAAGTTTTTTTTTTCTCGATAAGATACACCTTCCTGAAATTTTTTTGATTTAAAATTTTGAAACAATTTCTTACTTTGAGACGAATGAAACGACGCACTTGAATCCAAAATTCAAGACTCGTCGAGCTATCCGCACTAAGGATTATAACATCCTTAGTATTTTCTGCTGAATATATAGAATCGTCATCATCTCTCGATTTGTGATTCTGCTTCTTCTTCAATTTTGTACAATCGGCCTAAAAGTACCTTTACCTCCACAATTTCAACACGTTATATTTGGTCTGTTTGGAGATTTTTCTCGGTTCTTTGATTTTGATCGGTCATGTTTGTTTGGACCTTTTGATTTACTTCTTCCCTCTTGATCAACACGGAGAGTATTGCCTGTTGAGTCTCCAATTTTTCGATTGCAAATACTTTCGTTGAGAACTACATCTCGAGTTTCATCAAACTTCAGCTTCTTAAGTTCTCAGGTACTGCTGATCGCAGCAGCAACAGTAACACACGACTTGGGTAAAGATGACATCAAAATTAATACTTTAATTTTATCGGTGAAAATAATTTTCTTCGAACTCAATTGACTTATAATCATATTGAATTCCTTTGTACGATCCATGTGATGTCCCACATTGGTTGGGGAGGAGAACAAACCACCCTTTATAAGGGTGTGGAAACCTTTCCCTAGTAGACGCGTTTTAAAGCCTTGAGGGGAAGCCCGAAAGGGGAAAGCCCAAAGAGGACAATATGCAGTGGATCTGGGCCGTTACAAATGATATCAGAGCCAGACACCGGACGATGTGTCAACCTTCTCGTTGTTCCCCGAAGGGGGTAGATACGAGGCGGTGTGCCAGTAAGAACACTGGGCCCCAAAAGGGGGTGGATTTAGGGGCGGTCCCACATCGATAGAAGGAAGGAAAGAGTGCGCTGGCCCCGAAGGGGGGTGGCTTATGATGTCCCATATTGGTTGGGGAGGAGAACAAACCACCCTTTATTTATAAGGGTGTGGAAACCTTTTCCTAGTAGATGCGTTTTAAAGCCTTGAGGGGAAACCCGCCTAGCAGTAAGGACGCTGGGCTCCAAAAGGGGGTGGATTTAGGGGCAGTCTCACATCAATTAAAGGAAAGAAAGAGTGCGCTGGCCCCGAAGGGGGGTGGATTATGATGTCCCACATTGGTTGGGGAGGAGACCACCCTTAATTTATAAGGGCGTGGAAACCTTTTCCTAGTAGACGCGTTTTGAGGGGAAACCCGCCTAGCAGTAAGGATGCTGGGCCCCAGAAGGGGGTGGATTTAGGGGCGGTCCCACATCGATTGAAGGAAGAAAAGAGTGCGCTGGCCCCGAAAGGGGGTGGATTATGATGTCCCACATTGGTTGGGTAGGAGAACAAACCACCCTTTATTTATAAGGGTGTGGAAACTTTTTCCTAGTAGACGCGTTTTAAAGCCTTGAGGGGAAACCCGCCTAGTAGACGCGTTTTAAAGCCTTGAGGGGAAGCCCGAAAGTGAAAGCGGTGGATTATGATGTCCCACATTGGTTGGGTAGGAGAACAAACCACCATTTATTTATAAGGGTGTGAAAACCTTTTCCTAGTAGACGCGTTTTAAAGCCTTGAGGGGAAGCCCGAAAGTGAAAGCGGTGTATTATGATGTCCCACATTGGTTGGGGAGGAGAACAAACCACCATTTATTTATAAGGGTGTGAAAACCTTTTCCTAGTAGACGTGTTTTAAATCCTTGAGGGGGCCCGAAAGTGAAAGCCCAAAGAGGACAATATCTGCTAGCGGTGGATCTGGGCCGTTACAATCCATAATAGATCCACCTTTAGACATTTGTATTTTGAATAATCTCCACATCAAATACACCTTGTTCATAACCGACCGTTTTTCATACATATTCAATAGCGCTTTCAACAAGTTCGACGTTGTCAAATCATTGATAAAGTTGAACACTACATTTCTGAACAACGTCAACTGTATCAACTCTAGGACCTACCAATCCTTGAGCTTCCACTGCTCCGTGATCACAATATTCAACTTCATCTTAAACAGAAGTTTGTGAAGATCTTTCTAGTATAGATAATCTTCAATCGGCATCTTCGAGGAACCGAAATCGAGTCCATCAAATTTCTCACTTCCAATCTTTGAGCTTTCCATCTTCATAAATCATGGTGAATCTAGTCCAGCTCTAATGGTTAAGACCACACAACTCACATTCGATCTAGATGAACACAAAGAACAGGAGAGAAAAATGCAAAAATAGTCAATATTGATAACTTCAAATATAAAATAATAGAAAATACAAAGCAGGGAGATATATATATATATAGTTCAATTTATTATATACAATTTTACAAAATATAGTCATCTATGTATAACCATTGAGTAAGCTAAAAATAAACCGTTATCCATCTCCATGTACATGGATTTAGTCCCACTTTCTTTATCGAGATTTTTGCTGTTGTTCTCCTCCGCTCGTTTGTTTTTTTTTTTAAAAAAATTAATAATAATAATAATAATATTCTCATTTATATATTATATAATATATTTGGAATATTACATCATCCCAAGTACAACAGAGGAATGACACAGTTTGCTAACTACTCATATACTCATAAACTCATATACATATATACCATTCAGAAGTGAACAAAACTTTTGCTGTATTCGATGCTTACTGCAACTAATACAAGCCTGGAGCGTAAAGAATAGGAAACCAAAGCTATGCAAAGCTACAAAATGGAATGAGAAAACAAAACTGAACCCCAAACCCACCTATTCTACATTTTAAATAAACAAAATAAACCCAAAAACCCACCCTAGACTTGCAAAAGGAGCTTACCTTTTTCAGCAATGGATCCGCTCGCTGGGCTGGATGAGCTACCTTCTACTTGGCCTCTGTACTAGCTAACTAGTAGTGGAGTGGCTTGCTACTTTCACAAAGATTCTGGACTCATCGAGGGTCGGATTCGTGAGGGCATTCGAACACAATCTTGCCTTAACGGGAGAGAATTTCTTGGTGTGATGGACATTTTATCTAATGCATTATCAAATTCATCAAGGTCAAACTCTCTATCGTCGTAGCTTCTTGCCATTGCTTCATCGTCCATAAGGTTTTCCTCGATTTTATCCGGGAAAACCTCTGCAACATCTTCATCGCTGCTACCTTCGTCTTCTTCTTCTTCATCATATGTAGGTCTAACCATCGACCAATATACAAAATATGGCCGAAGATATCTTCATAAACAAAGGGGAATAGAGAAGTACGAGTTAATAATCCAAAAAATGAATTAAATGAAACGTTCTTAAACTTTCAAGTTCTCAAGTGTTCTCACTCGTTCCATTCAATCACTTTGAACATAAAACAATCAGATCCACAATATAAACAGAATGATTTTAACTTGTAATTCTAAGTCGCCTCTTATAATTATTTTACGTGTAACATTATTTATGATCGCTATCTATCTATACCTCGTTGTAAAGACTAAAAGTATATACCTGTCACATCTTTTCAGCAAGCAAGGATCATACGGAAAAAACATGTCGAGCCTTTCAATCCCACCGAAAGTCTTTGAATATTCAGACTCCAGCAAACCATTGAATATAAAAGTCTCTGATGGTGTAAATAAATTAGCAACTTTTGCCTGCCGGAGAAATTCCTCGACAATAGACGGTAGGCAAACCTATTAAATTAAAAGGTGTTAAAAAAAAATCATATAAGAAAATTGCACGGAACCGAGTTTCAGGCAGCATGATTTTTTTTTTTTTTTGGAGGTTAATGACAACATTGCTACTATAACCAAAAGTCCATATTTGTAGATCCAATATTCCGAGAGAATTACAGATTAAAGATGTCAATCTCCAAGGCCAAAATATGAACTTCCAAACATTTTAATGCATGGATAAGATGTCGTAGGGAGATTATTTTTTAATCGCCTCAATTAAGAAGTAATGAAATATCAAATGTGATTCTCTAGGCACCAAAAGCCCATATGCTTATTCGGGTTTCTGAACATAAACATTGATTTCAAGGACAAGGAACAACAAAGAGAACAATTTATATAAAAAACAAAAGCCACCAAAATTACCAACCTTCAGTGGGCTTAACCTATGCGTCAAGATTCGACCTATAGGCATAAGCAGAAGTTGTGACTTCAGCCGTGGTATCTCCAAAATCGATCTCATCCGGAAGCAAAGCACATACATTATGGCCTGTGAAAAAGGAGTCATTAAAATTAGAAGGAAAAAAAGCTCTATCTCTTGTAAACAGAAAACTGGTAGCCAGGTTTCTAATTGAACAAAACATCCATGAAATTCATCCTCCAAGAAGAAGGAATTCAAAGTGGATGCTTGAATTTAGGTTCATGAAATCTAGGTTGGTATAGCCTGTGAAATTAGCAAACGCATTATCTAGGATAAGCAAACTCCACCAAATCTACTTATTCTTGTGTCACAAAATCTAAACCATATCCCGCCAAATGATTTAGCGAGACAGCAAAAATCTAAATCATCATAATCATAACTGAAAAGTACAAATAGTAACACTTCGAAAAAACATACTAATTATTTTCCAGTTTTTCAACAAATCCCACCTGCATTAGTCTAGCAAAAGGAGTCCACGCATTTCATACCTGGCAACCAGAATAAAATATTTTATGAGCCTTTGGGTTCAGGTCAACATCATGTGTTTTGCCATATTCTAAACACCAATCCACCAATCTGAAAAAAATGGTAAGCAAAACTAGATTTAGAGCCACAATATTTACCCTCCCAGCTTTAATTTTATCAGTTTCATATTTCTTATCATAGAAACAATGTTAAAATTGACAAGTGAACCTTTTCAATATAGTGGTAACCAAAGAGGTTGACAGGAACTTCCCGCGAGACAAATAACTCGCAAGATACGAAATAGCACTCATCCTGCACAATACCACAAAAATATATTCTTTAACTTCACTTTTATAAGGAAAGAAACACCGTTCGAGCAGTGTGTGAAACTAGTGCAATATTGCAAAATTATATTAAAAGTTACTAAAATGACAACAAATGGCCAAAGGTAGTGTCGTAAAAAGTAGAGGCAAAATTAACTAGATTGGTTCCACAATCAGACCTTTTAAGAAGCTTCCAAATGCTAATGAACATAGCTATCTAATGAATTGCTATTACCTGGTAAGGGGAAGACCATTGCGGGAAATGAACATATCAGCTAGCGTAACGGCAAATCTTGCACCACAAACTTCCAGATCTAATGCACAAGCATAGAATATGACAAACTGCCAAGAAAAAGCATAAAAAGTTATTCAATCTCCATAAACAAACAAATGATATATAATTAGAGCTAACTGAACTGGAGTAAATAAGCAAATATAGAGAATTATGGCAAGGGTGTGTTGGTTACCTGGGCAAATTTAGACTTGTAAGCAGTCAGAACAGTTCTTTGAAATGATAGGAGTAAAATGTCAAAAACCTACAATCCACATTAAAAATAACATGGGAAAATATCACAATTGCAATATAAATCAAAGGAATTTAGAACAAATAAGAAAGAATGATATAAACAACACAAAAAAAATACCTCATTCAATCGTCCATCACGCTCACATGATTCAAGATGTTCAAATGTAAGCACTATCAAGCTATCTAACGTTTCAGCAATTACATTTCCACCTAAGCTCTTACGACTTAGTTCTCTTGGAAGCTAGCAAAATAAACATAAATTCAGCCAAATAAATAACAGCATAAATTAAAAAGAAGTATTTAGACATATAGCAGAAAGGTCAAAATGTAAGTAATTTTTCAATAAAATTGCATGACGCTTTAAAAGCCTGACTCGGCTAGAGTACTTAAACTTTGCAAACTCAAAAGAAAATTTGCTTCCAACCATGGACTATACTTCAGATCCATTACTTCATAAACCAGAATACTAGAATTTAAACATAAAAAATATAATGAGAAAAATGCCAAAATGTTCTAAAAGACCAAATGCAGTCTTAAGGTTGTAGAGGCAAGGCACACCTCAAGCGTAAGCCTCAAATTAAATTTAAAACATTTTACAAACCCCAAATTGGCATGAACAATCATTGTTAAACATAATAATGACATCAAAAAGTTCACCCCCCTGCCACTTAAAAAAAAGAAAACGATATCTATAATATCGCTGCTATTATTTTTTTATAAGAATTTATCGCTGCTATTACAATTATATTAATCATAATAGCAGCGATATTATATTAATAACAATATCGCTGCTATTATGATTAATATCATTGACTTGTACTATAACCTTTTCCACTGTTTTTGAAGTCACAGTAGTAATAGTTCAAATTGTCACAACTCAAACCTAAGATTTTAAGTCTCAATGTGATTTCACTAAGCAAGAAGCCTCTTATGGTTCAACGAAGGCACAGATATTGAGACACAAAGTTAGAGTTTTGCCTCGAGGCAAGCCTCAAGGCATAAGCCTCAATAGCTTTTTAAAACATAGGTTGCCAACCATAATTCTCCAGAAAAAAGGACAAGAAAAGCTAATTAAGGGATTAAACCATCACACTTAGTTGAATAAATAACTTTCTTTATCCAGCCTATAGGTTAAATATCATACCTCACTAGAATCCTCATCAATATCATCTGTAGATTCATTGTCATCTTCCAGTTCAATCTCAAAAATTCCTTTACTGAAATCGTCTTGTAGGATATCATCCCACCCAATCTCCACCTATCAGAAGGTTAGAGCTCGTTATAATAATAATAACAAAGTAATCACATAAACGAACGTCATTGCAGAGTAAAACATTTGTTTTGACTTACATCCAGATCTAAAAGCTTATCCACCAGTGCAGTTAAGATTTTCCTCCCAACAAATTCACTCATTGCACCCTTTTCCAACCTTAGCATGTTCTCCACATATATTGTGGTCAACTACAGGGCGGTTCAACAGATGTAAGTGGAAGACAATCACAAAACAAATTCTTAACAAAGAGTATATGATTTGAAGACGAAACAGAATGATTTCTTTAAAAGAATATTCCAGAAAAAAATCAAAGCAATCTCTCTCGTTTAATCAAGCAAGTACCTATAAGCACATCTATAAAAATAGGTCAAGGCTTTTGAAAATGTAACCATATTTATGATTTCCGACTCTTTTAATGGCCTACACTATCTGGTTCATATGAACACATTTATCCACAAGATTTAGGAGGCATTCGTAGTTTCAAAGATTGTATAACTGTAGCATCTAGCGAATATACACTGCATTTCAACTATAAATCATAATCAGGGTAGTTCTACTTCAAACTATATTTCATAAGGTCTTTTAACGATACAAATCGAGGCATCTAATACTTCAGATCAATGTGCCAAAGCATGCAAACAAATAATGGGCTTTCAGCTTCACACCAAACTTCCAATAGTCATTGAATAGATGGTCATGAAAAAGAAAAAGATGGGTAAAAAAATAATAATAATTAGAAATAACTGTTTTAGAAAACATGACAGATGAGAATAACAATAACAGTCAGTAAGAAATAAACACAATTTGCACCAAGATTTCTATTGGCAACTTTTAGCCGGGTAAATTTTACTCACAGATTCTTTGAAAAAGACTCTCTGCATTTTATGGACAACTATGAGCTCTAATCTCAAGGGTGCAAGAGGAACCAAGTCCGAGATGTCTTTTAGAGCTGTGTGCACTCGAGAAAGAACTTCATCCTTTCTTGTAAGACCATGCGGCTTCTTCAGGAAATCCTTGTAGGAATGGGGCGGCATGAAATTAGTTACAAGCATATCCAAGCATGAATCCACATATTTTCCACTCGAAACAGCCTGAAACATTAAATAGACAAAAAGTCAGAGGATCATGCAACAATAAGGTGAACAAGAAAGAGTGAAAGTTCTATTGTCATAAAATGCTCATACCAGGGATGTTATTAGTTCAATCAGGGCATCCATCACGTTAGGTCCATAATCCCACAAGCTCATTTTAAAAATCTGAGAAAGAACTTCCATTACAACAACAAGATTGCAGGATAATGACTCTTGAGTTTAGTGATAAACTTACTGCCGCAAGAAGTGATTCGTGGAGAACGACATCTATACAAGAAACTGCTCCAGATAGTGCCTTCAAACATGTCTGTTAAGCACATCAAGTGAATTAAATTACAACTCATATCATTGGTGAAAAACAGATGTGATGTTAAGGACATACCACGAGCAAGGCAACCTCATCAGCGGATAATCGATCTCTGTGGTGTATAACACCAACAAGCTGGTGATACCCATCAGTATTTCCCTACACCAATTAAAGCTATTGTAAGGTTATAACGGTTATTCTTCCAAACACAACATGATTATGAGTGAGAACTCGGAAGCATATCCAACCCATATAATAAACTAACAGAGAGCAATTCAGAATTCGATTGCTATATGAACTCTCTCTCTCTCTCTCTCTCTCTCTCTCTATATATATATATATATATATATATATATATATATATATTATCTATATATCTTTTAAAAAGTAACGAGCAATAATGATCTTAATAGAACAATACCAGCGACACTGAAGTAAGAAACCCCCTAATGAAATCAACTAACTGATCATCTGTGAAATTAACACCCTCCATATCCTGAAACTGAGCTTGGCCGTTTTCAAATTCCACCCCCATGATTAATGCCGAAACCCTGCTGAGATCCTATTGCCACAGTGAGGCCTGCGAACAGGACGAGGTTCAAAGCTGAAAACATAAGACCGATTGAATAAAAGATTCAAACAAAATAATCGGAAAAAAAAAAAAAAAAAAAAAAAAAAAAAAAAAAAAAAAAAAAAAAAAAAAAAAAAAAAAAAAAAAAAAAAAAAAAAAAAAAAAAAAAAAAAAAAAAAAAAAAAAAAAAAAAAAAAAAAAAAAAAAAAATATCAAACCAGCTTGGAATAAAGGTAAGATTACCCTGCTAATTAGGAATAATTGTTTTGATTGGTGCCGACGTGCGGTTGCACCAGAGAGGGAGATAGAGATAGAAGAAAGAAAAGAGGCGGTAGCGACAGCAGTGGCGACGACTTCTGCCGCTGAGGTCTGGCTGGTGGAGGCCGGTAAAGGCGGAGACGACGACGGCTTTTGCAGCGAAGGGGTGGAGGGCGGCGTCGGTTGTGATGGAGGGCGGGGAGTCTGGAAGTCAGAAAGCCAACCCTAAACCTAAACCTAAACCTAGAAGAACAAGAAGAGTTAAAAACAAAATTCTAAAATTTTAAAATAATAAAATAATAAATAATAAATAATAAATAATGGAAAGGGACATTTTTGTCGTTTAGCTTAAATTTGTCTTGGATATGTTGGATGTTGACTCGACCCAATTATTTTATTTAAATAATTCTTTCCTCAAATATTTATTTTTAATAAAATAAAATGTCAATGCTTAAAATATTTATTTATTTATTTTAAAAAATTACTAATAATAAATAATCAACAAAATAATTATAAAGTTAAAATAAATATATATAATTGTATCTAACCAAAAGAAAATAAAAAGAAAAAATTAACAATAAATTTGAATGGTTTTTTGTTCACTAAAATTAATTTTTAAAAACCCATTAATTAATTTAATAGGAACCGTACATTTAATCCGGCAACCTGGACCAACCCATATATTTTATCTAAGATCTGAACAATTATAAATTGTGAATAAATAAAACTTGAAAGAATTTTTTTTGACTAACTCAACCCGAAAATAGAGGGTTGGGTTGTGAAAATTTTCGGGTTGGGTTGGGATACCAATCCAACCAACTCGAACTTTTGGGTTTGGTCAAAAAAATCTCTCATTTATTTGAATTTAATCAACTTGAGAAGGACCGAGATTTAAAGAAGGGAAGAGGGAAAAAATGTTTATGTAATTTAATATTATAAAACTCGAATATTGAAATAAAACCTAATCTAAAATAAAAAAAATGATAGTTTGGTCAATCATGCAATGATTTGACTCGTGACTCCTCTTTTCTTACCTAAAATTGCACAACTTTTCTCGTTGGTTTCTTCTTTAGTGAAGTCTTAACGACGTTTCGGTGGTTAATCACATTGGTAAGTGACCTATAAGGTATTTACTTTTCATGCTAGAATTTGTACAAGCTTTTTCTCACGACTCAAACTCTCATTTAATATGTCTAGGTTCGTAGTCTATCACATGGGACTGGTAGGTCACACACTTGTAAGGCATGGATGCATATTGCACGTTATCGACTGCAATAAGAGATAGTGACAGAGGTAGTCAATATACCACTAGTCCAATTTGATCCTTAATTTTGAAGGGTCTTATGAAGTGTGAGTTTAGCTTACATTTACCCTTATACATCAAACCTTTCGTCGGCACTACATTTAGGATTACTTTATCAATCGTGATTAGGCGGAATTGTAGTAGTTTAAGGCAAGATTAGGGGCGATGTGATGAGGAACAAGCTTGGATTGAGAGGATCTGGGATATTGAAGTTGAGAAACCAAACCAACTTTGCGTCAGGATTTAGTTTGTCAAATTTGTGCACGAACATCGACGATCTTGGAGTGAAAAGCAAGGTCATTCGTTCATTGGAGATAGGGAAGCTCGTGGTGATTTTGGATTTAAGAGAAGATGACTAAGAAGAGGTGTATAAGATTTCAGATTGTGTGCCACGTGCTACCACTATAGCACCCTTCACAATCTTCTACGAACTCTTCCCAAACTCTGTTGCATAACCTGTGCTATCCAACTGACCAACATAGATTAGGTTCTTGAGACCAGAAATATAGTTGACATTTTTTAATGTCCACTGATTTCCTGCTCGAGTTTTATGCAGACATCCCATTTTTCTTCAATCTCCAAATTTTTGTTGTTGGCAAGATACACCTTGAAATTTCGAAACTTGAAATTTCGAAATAGCTCTTTATTTGGAGATAAATGAAAATATGTACCTGAATCCAAAATCCAAAATTCAATCGGGCTGTCCATGTTGAGGATTAAAGCATCCCAATGTCTTCGGTTAAATTTATAGAATTATCATCATCTCCAGATTTGTGATTCTACTTCCCACTTGTTCTTGTACAATCTGTCCGAAAGAGACATTTTTCTCCATAATTCAAACACATTACGTTTTGTCTATTTAGAGATTTTTTTCGGTTCTTTGATCTTGAACGCCCTTTGTTTGGGCCTTTCGGTTTACTTCTTTCCCATTGGTCAACACTGAGAGCACTACCAGATGAATCTCAAGTTTCTCGTTTGTAAATACTTTCGCTGAGAACTACATCTCGAATTTCATCAAACTTCAGCTTCTCAGATCCTCGAAAACTGCTGATCGCGACAATAACAGTATCCCACGACTTGGGTAAAGATGACATCAAAATCAATGCTTTAATTTCATCTTGGAAAATAATTTCCACCGAGCTCAATTGACTTACAATCATGTTGAAGTCATTTATATGATCTGCAATAGATCAACCTTCAGACATTTGTAGATTGAACAGCCTCTGCATCAAATACACCTTGTTCATAACCGATGATTTTTCGTAAATATTCGACAACGCCTTTAATAGGTCAGACATCGTCTTCTCCTTGATGATGTTGAACGCCACATTTCTGGACAACGTTAACTGGATCAACCCTAAAGTCTGACGATCCTTAAGCTACCCCTGCTCCGTGGTCATGGTATCCGGCTTCACCCCCAACAAAGGTTCATGAAGATCTTATTGGTACAGATAATCTTCAATCTACATCTTCTAGAAACCGAAATCGAATCCATCGAACTTTTCAATTCAAATCTTTGAACTTTCCATTTTCACAGATCGTGGTGAATTTTGCCTAGCTCTGATACCAATTGTTAGGATCGCACAACAACGTACATACTCGATCAAGATGAACACAAAGAAAAGAAGAGAGAAAATGCAAGGAGGAATATCGGCTAAAGAATTTGTATTGATGACTTCAAGTATGTATACCAAGAGAGAATACAAAGAATGAAGAAAGTACATTTTGAGAGCACTACCTAATGAGGTATATATATGGTTTTAGTTTACTAGATATATCTCTACCAAATATTTACGAAATATCTATCATATATATCTCTACCAAGTCTTTATGAAATATCTAACATATATATCTCTACCAAATCTTTTACTCTAAATAGTCATCAGACTCCATATCCCAGGGGCTACTGACAAAGCATTGTCTACCTGGGATGAGTTAAATACTAATTGTACTAGCAGTCAGTGAGTTCCTAGATGTAATATCTTAAAGAGTTTCCTAAGTTGCTACCTGTGCAAGAGGTCAATTTTAGCATTGAACTGGAACGAGGAACGACATCTATATCCAAGGCTACTTATTGTATGGCCTCAGTAGAGTTGAAGGAGTTGAAGGCACAACGACAAGAATTGTTGAACCAAGGATTCATATGGCATAGCGTGTCATCGTTGAGAGATCCAATATTGTTCATAAAGAAGAAAGATGGATCGTTGTGAATTTGCATAAGAACAAATAACTATTGCCATGAATTGACAATTTGTTTGACCAACTTCAAGGAGCAGTGGTGTTCTAAAAAATTGATCTTCGCTCGGGATATAACAAGATAAAAGTTAAGAAAGAAGACATACCCAAGATAACATTTCAGACTCTTACCAGCGTTATGAGTTTGTAATAATGTCCTTCAGGTTGACTAACATACCTGTAGTATTCATGGAACTGATGAATCAAGTGTTTTAGGAATTTCTAGACGCATTTATGATCTGTATCTACCAAGTATTTATGGAGCATTTGTGGAGAGTGCTAAAGGTACAAAGAGAAAATATACTATTTTCCAAATTTTCTAATTGCAAATCCGGACTCCAAAAGATGGCATTTTTTTTGGATATGTGGTGTCTAATGATGACATTGTTGTAGACCTAGTGAAGATCAAGACATTTATAGTTGTTCTCGTCTAACCAAAATTTTAGAAGTGAGAAGTTTTCTCGGTTTGGTAGGATATTATAGACAGTTTATTAAAAAAAATTTAAGAACATGATGTCATTAACTTAGTTGACTTGGAAGGGAAAGACGTTTAAATGAAGTTGAATGTGAAGAGAGCTTCCAGTAGCTCAAGAAGAGGTTGGCAACGACACCGGTACTTACTATATCTGATTGTACAGGGAATCTAGTAATTTATAGTGATGCTTCCAATAGAGGATTGAGTTGTGTACTCATGCAGAATGAAAGAGTCATTGCTAATACTCCTCGACAATTGAAGGATTATGAATGCAACTATCTAATTCACAACTTGAAATTAGTTGTCGTAGTATATGGAGAAAAGAGTTAAATATGTGGCAACAAAGGTGGTTGAAATTGGTTAAAGATTATTATGTAGATATTTTGCACCATCGTGACAAGGCCAATGTGGTCATTGGCGCTCTGAATCGTAAAATGACTCATTCTTCACCGATGCTTACCAGGCTGACAGGAATTCAAGTAGAGTTCGAATCAGCTTTGATAACAAGTGACGGTTCAGCTAGATCATATGACAATTTTTTCAACTATGAAGAAGTAAATCATTAATGCTCAACGAGAAGATCCTTATTTTACTAACGTTATCAACCTACCAAAGTCTGAACGAGCATAAAGATTTTTGAACCTAGGCTTGTGGCAAAATAGAATGTGTTTCTCCGAGGATAAGGAGAGAAGCTCACAAGTCATCTTATTGATCGCTCGTGAATGTATATAATAAACTGGTGTAAAATTCACTAGAATAAATGTAAGTATACACAAGTAGCAATTAATAAGTAAATTATCAATTCCACATATAACATTTTTTTGTGTGAGTGTCGGTGATTTTAAACTAATTAAACTGTCCAGAGTGTCATTACTTTCACAAAACAGAGAGCAACAAGAAAATCATCAATAATGAAGAAGGTTCGGCCAAGAGAGATTAAATGGATAAGTTGTTGAGTTTTGTGGTGGATCTTAACTCATTTTAATAGATTCCCGAGCATAGTGATAACTTTCATAATCGTTTTGTAATGTCTATTAACAAAGTTCTAGGAGAAGAATTATTACCCTTCTATTACCTTTAAGTATCTTTGCAATGGAACGAGTATTAAAGAGAATACCATTGTTCCCTCTTTTTTTCTGAATTAAGTATGCAAAGTGGCCAACTAAAAAAACATGTAAATCATTAATAATAACTCGTTAATAAACTAAAATCATGTTGTCAACATACTTAAAC